AATACTAAAATAAATACAGTGTCGCTACTTCACTTTTACTTTTTGTAGGGTGTCTGGAACGTACCCTCCACGATAACCTCCACAATAAGTGAGGGACCACCGTACATGACAACATGTTTATGTCCTGCATTAAATAAAATATATTATTAAAATTAATTTCATTTATTTTTCTTTTTTAAAGAAGTGTGCTTACTAGAGATTTTTAAATTACATTTGTGGCTTGCATGAATTTAAGTTCAATGGTGCTGCCTAGAATCTTATTTTGAAAGTTAAGGCATGATTATGAAAGGTCAGTGTCACGTTCAAAAATGAAACCAGATTTCTTTGTTCTTTTATAAAATGACCTTAGTTGATGTCTGTGTTTATACACAAGCAAAACTAGATCAAATTTTGTTCTTTCAAAGGCATATGATGGGGCCTCGAATTACTTTATTTCTAAACTTAAATATTTTTAGTATCTTGAAAGGTCTTTATTTTGGTTTTAAATTATAGGTTGCCATCAGTTTCTAAGCTTAACGGCAGTGTCGTCAGTGATGGTGAGCGAGAAGATTCTGAGCGATTTTTTATTCGTTATTATGTGGATGTCCCAAAGGAAGAAGCACCGTTCAGGTAACAGTCTCTCATCAGCTAGGCAAGTGTTGTCCTGTGTAGGCAGCTTTAAAACTATGTTGGAGGGCAAAATCTAATGTTCACCTATTGGCTCATTCTTAGAGGACTTTGATGATAAGTTTTGCTTTTTTAAAGGAAGAAACAGGGCTAGGGAGATAGCTCAGTGATCTCAGTCCCTGCCTGGCAAGCACAAGGACCTGGGTTTGATACCTGTTACTACATGCTGGCCTCGGAACCCCGGATGCAGCATACCAGCCCCTGAAACATGGTGGTGCACACTTGTAATCCCAGTGCTGGGAAGGCTGAGAAAGGAGGATCATTAAGAGGAAAACAAACACATAAGTAGGAAGAAGCACAAAACTTACTGCATCTCATTTTCCACAGTGTCTCACACTTGTGTAAGAATGATTATTTCGCCAATTCAGTAGTTTCCACTCTGAACTTCTTTTCCTAAACTTGTTTTATTAATTTTCTTTTCTGGTGGCACATTTTTACTGACACTCAAAATTGGTGTCATGTATTTTGCATTGCTTTCAGAATAATTTTAAGAGTTTGGCAGACTTGGAAGATGTATAGTAGGTTCAGAATAGAGAAAACAATTGGAAAATAAGCTTCCTAGAAATATTAAAGAATTAGAATGGTTGTGTGGAAAGAGAAATGCTGAGTACTAGTTAGTAAATACTGTTAAGTGTATGAAGAGTTATCTGTATTGTTTAGTGAGAAACTACTTTAAAAACTCTGCAGATAAGATGAAATGTAGCAGATATGATATAGGCAGATATATAAGAAAAGAAATAAGCTTCCAGATGTTGGTAACTAGAAGTAGCACTAAAAAGTTGCGTACTTTTCTTCCTTAATGACTTTATGAATACTGTAGTATGGATGCCTAGTTGGTGGGAGGAATTTCAGACAACTGGAATAAAAGTTAGGGCTCACTGTGAGTCGGTGTAGTTGGGCCTCCTGGTGACACGTCTTGGATTGTAATTCATCCTTACTGCATACACACCCCCTCTATTCTCTAATACTTACAGAGGCTTTCAGGGAGTTGACATTCTGTAAGCCTCAACAAGTGCCGTATAAAAACATTTTATAGCATTAGTAGTGTTTGAAAGCCTAAGCATTTAAAAAGTTACATAAATTAAGTAAAAATTTTGGAGATAACTTAAAAATTAACAGAGCAGCCAAGTAGTAGATATTACTGTATCTTTTAAAGTAACATATATATTAAGATAAATTGTTCTCTAAAAAGTCTTTTTCATACAAATAGCTAAATATCTACAGTTTCATTTGGTTTAGTCTAACATATTAAAGGAAGAAGTGAGTATTTTGGCTTTGAGCATAAGTCTGTCGTGATTATTTTTTAACTTCGGTCTCCTACCAGAAGATATGTGTTGAGAATTCTTTCCTGCCCTCACTGCTGTAATTATCTTGCAATGTGTTTAAGCCTCTGAGCTAGTTGGTGTTCTTGAATGGGAGCCACAGAAAGCAACTTTGATTAAATTTAATTGGGAGAGAAATTTATCGGAAGGCCTTCTGAAAGCATTGTAGCATTGTAAGTAGGATGAAGACGTGGGGATGGGTCAGAACCAAGGGTGACAAGGACAGAGATGGTTTTACTCACATTCAGCCTCATGCCCCTGTCATCGCTTGGTGCTGCAGTGCTGGGCTTTACCTCTGGGCACCCGATGCTGTGTGTTGGAGTTTTAATTTCCCTGTGTGCGCTCAAAACAATTTCTCACTGACCTCCTCTTTGAAAATATTTATTAGGTTCATACTATAAGATTGATGCTGTTGTAGAACTAAGTAATGAATAAAGTTCCTGCTTTTATGAAGCTCAATTTTAATGGGTTTCTTCATTGACCATTACCTTATTGCCCACAAGTGCGAAATCCACTCGGAAGTAAATGATTGACTGTGTTTAGGGCATCTTGGGGAACAGCCATAGGGAGAAAGGCTTGCTTGCTCCAGTCCTGGTTTCTGCAGTGAGAGGTACAACATTGTGTCCCTTGGTTGGTACTATTCCCCTGATAGACCAAGTGAGTACAAAAAAATGTGTAACGTTGGGCTGTCTCTTAGATGTTCCAGTATATATATATATTTTTTTTCCACCCCTCTGGTTATATAAAAATTTATTCTTAGTTGTCTTACTGTATTCCTTATATAGCTGAAATCACATTTCTTTGCAGTAAAATAAGATATTGCTGGTTTTATGAATTACAGAATCTATCCATTTGTCCTTCCTTTCTATATCTTGGAACCTATTGATTTCGTTGTAAAGTTAACTACCCTAGTGTACCCTTTACAAAACAATGGGAAAATTAGAGAAGAAAAGTTAATTAAATTTTATAAACATTTACGTGAAATGATTTAAAAAAACAAACATAAGTATGCATTGATACTCTCATTTTTTAAAATATATAATGTTTGGGTACAGGGTCTCTCACTACACAGCTCAGACTCTTAGTGATCCTCCTGTTGTCAGCCTTCCCAGCACCAGCATTATAGGCGTGTGCCAACGTGCCTGGACTTACTCTCATGTTTTTACATTGATCCTGAATACATAAATGATGTTTATAATATTCCCCTCCTATTATTTGCCCTTTTCATTTATATGCAGGTAAGGCAGCCTTGAGGTAACTTAAATTGGACAGAAGGGTTTTGTGTGTTTTTGTTTTTAACCTGTTTGGAGATAAAAGGTGAATTTAAATCTGCATGCATGCGTTCGTGTGTGTGTGTGTGTGTGTGTGTGTGTGTGTGTGTGTACTTTAACCCTTGATGCTTTTGCCTGCAGGTGGTTTGGGCAGTCCTGCATCATGTCTTGGTGGGCAGTCCCAGGAGATACTACAGGGATGGTCTGGTTTCCTCAATACTCATGTGTCCCTCTGCTGTATTTCTCTTAACCACCAAGGTTACTTGCCTTGGCTGCCTCTTTCAAGAGTGTGGCATGCTTCTTTTGGTATAACAATTTGTAGAATTTAAAAAGGGCAGAGACTCATTGTCCAGGTGGAATAATTTTAGTACTAGTGGAAACGTTCCTGTCCTGAGTGTGAAGTCTCTAAACCCAGTAGAGCTCAGCTGTGGGAAAGAACAGTTTTACAGATTGGTCCTATGATGTGATCCTTTGGTGTACTATGTCCTTCGTTTAACTGACGGCCTTTTGTTCAAGACCCCTGTCAATTGAAATGTTGAACAGGGGTGTGGTGTGTTGTGATCACACTCTTTGCTCCCCTTAGGGAAACAATACTACTTTTAGTTTAATGTTAGAATGCCAGTTTATTCTGGTCCGGAAAACTAGATGATGCTTCAACTACTGCAAAAGATTCATGCTGTCAGATTATTTTAATCCATTCTGGCCTGCTGCCTGTTTACTTGTGCCCACTTTCCACCCTAGTAAATGCCATTTGCTTGGTCTCTTCTGTTCTTGAAATGGGTAGTCTGATTTTAGTATTTTTTGTCTCTCTTATAAAGTATTTTTCAGAGAGGTGAACATTCTACTATACTTGTATTTTCAAGATATGAAGTAGGAAATGTCATCTAGGATCTTTTAAGGTTTATAGATAGAGAATGGGTAAAGGTGTAATGTAAGTTACACAGTCATACCCATCCTTCTTATGTTTTACAGTTTTTAAATCATTTCCACATTATCCTAAGGCATATGTGATATTGTATATATTCTTTTAGCATAGACCATTATTGTGTCCAAAACCAATTTCCAGTCAACTAATTGGATAAACATTTAGTATCATTCTCAGGTACTGAAGATAGCTTTTGAATTCAGAGTCTTGATCAAGTGTGGTTATATCAGCAAACAGTTGGAACTAAAATTGCCTTTTATTCCTTGGTCTAAACCAGTTAGAATCCGCACCTATGTACTTTTTTTTTAGCCTGCTCATGTTAATGAACAAAAGTCTTAAGATTGATATTATAATGAACTGTACAGAGCATGCTGTTACCTGATACTAGTGGAACAGGATTTATGTATGGAAGGATGAAGAGTGAAGCAAATGGGAATTAGTTTACTCTTGCAAGGGAATTCAGGCAAGGGGATTTCACTGCCTTCTCAGGCAAGAGATAGAGGACAGAGTAAGAGGAGCTCCTCAACTAGCTATGGAGAGGCCTAAGTGAGAATTAAAGATTTAGGGTATACCTAACTCATAGTATTCCAAGCCACTGCCATTCTAATTTTTTTTTTTAGGACAGGGTCTTGCTGTGTAGTTCAGGCTGGTCTTATGCTCACTTTTGTAGCCTCTGGGCTGGTCTTGAACTTGCAGCAGTCCTCCTGTCTCAACCTCCCATGTGCTGGGATTATAGATGTGTACTACTATGCCCGATTCCAGGGCTGCCATGGCATGTGAGGTTGGGGATTGAGCTCAGAGTCTTTGTGCTTTCCAGGTAGGTGCTTGTGCCTCAGAGCTATCTCCCCAGCCCTTCCAATTCTTTTTCACTGTATTTATCAGTGTTCTTCCATGTAGTAGTCATAACATGGATGCAAATTGAACTAACTCATAAATTGTTCAGCTCAGAGCATCAAACCTTCCTTTTTTTTTTTTCCCATGGGGTTTCATTTCTTTTGTTGTAAAAGAAAAAGGGTAACCTTCCTTAAGAGTACCTGGATTTAGTTTGTACATTGGGACTAGTTTGTAGGGGTTACCTTACGTTTTTTTCTTTCTTTACAAATGCTGTCATGTACCTGTAGTGCAGCGGGTGCTCTACCACTTAGTCTCGAATCTCTGTATCCCACATTCAGCACTCTCTCAGTTATCTGGCGCCTTCTCTGTGACTATGATGACAATTATTTCACTGCTTCATGTTAAGAAACTTACACAATGTCTCCGTGAGCAAGAATGTGATGTTCATTGGCTGCTTCTAGACCAGAAGCCAAGTGACATTGCTCGTAATTACCTGAGGGTGTACTGCACCTCGCCCACTCCCTGGTGACAGTTTTTTTTTGACAAGTTGAAGTAACTAGGAACCTAGTAAAAGAATAATGACTACTGTGT